TGATTTTAAGAGTTTTGAGAATGTTGAAAGTTCCATTCATTTTTATAAATTTTATACATATTACGATTTTCCAACTTATATATTTACAATAGATCTTAATGTTAAGAAATTGTACGTCTTTGTTAAGCAACGATTTTTAACAATGTAATAACTTTATTGCAGTCTAAGGAAGAACACTTTTGCTTCACGATTTTTCAGCGTGCAACGTTTTGGCAGCGAGCTTGAGCGAGCCGTATACACTGCGTAATTATGGACGGCGTGTTAATTGCACCTACGTCGCGCTTTACCCAGGCACAGTGCAAATGATCGCACTTGGCGTTGGAGTTTCGAATTTCCTCGGTTCCTCTCGCACCACTGAAACTGGAACTCTGCGAAAAGTTCGTAGTCTTTTTATCAACTACCCATTTCACCGTAGATCTTTACTTTAATACCTTGCCATACCTCTAAGTCACCTTCTCCAATTTATTTCCAATTTGCTGACGCAAAGGGAAGTCTAATATCTGCGTTTGAATGATCACTGGCGGTGTAGTAGTTGAAATAATAGCAACTGAAATTTAGGAGTGAGTTGGGAAACGCGTGGCGATTTCTTCATGTAACGATTGAAATTTACTTGAACTTAAATTGTAACGTAGTAATCTCATGATGTAGCAATTGAACTTTTGACAATGGAATCACATTGCAACAACTATATTCTACATCCTGTGAATAATACAATGATTCTGTGAATAACACAATGCAGCCTATGATTATTCAATTTGTGAAATATTTTGTCTTGAATTAAATTCTTCAGTCTCCTGCTCTTAGTTTCTGTACTACTCTTAGTTTTTTAGTTTCTGTAACTACTTTATTGAAAGTAATTGTATGAATAGTGATTATAATTGTAGTAATAGTAAATATACAAATAAATACGAATGGTAATTATATAATAGTGATTACGTAATATTAATTAAACAATGGTTTCCAGTGCGACGAAACCAGTCCCCAAGATCAAGTGATAATTGGAGGCAGCGATGGTCTGGACACGTCTGAAGTTCGGGTAGTTGATTCTATTTGCGGGATAGATTCTAAGCCAGGTAATACGATTAATAACTCCTAACGGCAATATCGATTTCAATCGGAAAATAGCTTTGTGTCGACCCACACCCAAGCTAATTGTAACGCGTTTAATTTGATTGCCTTGATATAACCTACTTACCTCCCCTCCTTTGACTATTGATTGAAATATTAAATATATCCTGATTCATGTATATTAATTCTGTTTCAGGTAATTGTATATAATTAGTGGCTTTCTTCAAGGGGACCATTTGATTCCAGTCCCCTTTCCAAAATCTTTATCTCACTAAAGACAATCCTCTTTCTCAAAAAAAAAAAAA